TGTGTGTGTGTGTGTGTGTGTGTGTGTGTGTGGTGTGTGTGTGCTGGCGGTGATCTTCCCTCGCTGGATAACGAGATCCAGCTGTCAGCTAGTGGCGTTTTCCCCAACAAGGTATCTGCCACTAGCGGGGCACCGCCCCAGCCGGGACATGCTCCAAGCTCAGCCCGGCCTCCTGGCATGTGTGGTAGTGTAGTGCATATTAGTTGTAGTGTGAGTAAGGAGTGAGGATAAGCCAAGGGAGAGGAAGGAGAGTTCGCGCGCGGTCGTTGGCCCGTTTGTTAGAGAACTGCTCCGGCATTCGCCTGATGTTAATCGGAGGAACCACGGAAAGCTACTGATAAGATCAGCCAGCCTCAAGAATTCTCCTCCTGACAGAGGCTGAATTCGACCTAGATGACAAGATAGTGTCGAAAATCCTGCCATCGCCGGGACTCGACATTATTAAGTTGTAGAAAAATGTTCTAATTCCGTGTGTGAATTTCCATTTTCTTTCATGGTCTCAATTGAGATTTTTTCCTCGGCCTACAGTTTCGGCAAAAAATCTCAATCTCGGCCGTGAAAGAAACGTTAACTTAACACACTTATATTAAAATAACTATTATTTTTTACAGGTCATTGCTGTGTGTTTACAGACCTGAAACAAAACACGAAACGGTATTGTCAATACCCTTCGGGCCTTAATGATTCTTCGCGGGCTTTTTGAATACCATATGGCCCGCTCTTCTACCAACACAATACTTACATTTTTATGAATTCGATTTATTAAAGTTAAGATACTATAAATAAATGACATAACGCTCAAATAAGTGATTATAAACCATATTATTATATTATAAAATAACTGATTGTAAACCATATTTTACTTAGTTGATATGAACATTGTAAGTTTGGAATGATCCTGTGAATTTATAATTGCCATGAGTCACTCACATTTCATTGTTACGTATCACCTTTTTTTCAAAAAATGTAGTGTCTGCTTGTTGAGTAACAGTACAGTAGTAATAAGATGTGTAAGTGACATCGGCTAACATCCTCGAAATGTTATTTTTTGAAGTTCTAAATAACTTTTGGCGATCGAGGCAAATAACCTAAAATTCACAGTTGTAATCCAAATCATAATAATTTTAATAGATTTCTAAATATCTTATCGGTAACCACTGTCCGTAGCTTTGTTAGCTTCTGCGAAAATGTCCACAGGAACATTACAATATTCTTTAATTTTGTGCGAACAACGAGTTTGCACTAGTAATTAGATACATATTCTGTATTTTTTTTTCTGAGGTCATATTGAAAAAGACGATTACTATGAGTCTGTTCACTTTAGTCGCAAGAAAAGTTATAAATGTTTCTAATTCTCGTTTGATTCAGCAATGAACTAATAAACCAAAAAGTTTTGAATGCACCATGGGCGTACAGGTTTTGTTTTTTTAGGGAAAAAAAACTCAAAATGAACTTTACATTATATTAAAGACTCCAATTAGCACTATCCATTTGAAAAGTTTGGAGAAAAACTTGGAACTTTTTTTTTAGAAAATAGTTTGATCGTATTTGAAAATGCGGAATTTTGAGTTAGTTTTAACAGAAATCGGTTGGGTTTTCATGAAAAAGGAATATAACAATATTTAAAGCACATGTACTCATAAATATGTGAACAAATCATCGCTTGTATATATTACCGATGCGATAGACTAGTCAATAATGACTTTTTTGTAATTTTTCAAAAAACAAAAGAATAGAGATTATGGCGTTTATGTCATCTCAGAGTACATTTAACACTCCCTCTACAAAATGATTTTTAAAAAAATTTGAATAGTTTTTGCAAAAATCTTGTTTTTGTTATTTTTAAATTTGCATGCAATATTGTGTGAAAACGACTAAAATTTTCAAAAAAAAAGTACATGACCTTAATGAAAGAACTCACTATGTAGAACAAATTTTATTTGAAGGAAAAAACTTATCTTCAATTTGTTAGTTGTAGGAAGATTTCCGAAAAACTGTCAAAGTTGGTGAAATTTCAGTCAACTCTGAAAATCGGGCCTATGCCATCTTCATAAGTGTATTTTACTCTATTCTTACAAGAAATTTAAAGAAATTATTTAGAGCCATTTTTGAGAAAATTTTTGAAATGTCCAGGGGGCTACATGTAAAGATCCCCAAAAATTTAATGAATGTTTTTTAAAATTGTAAGATTTTCAACTCGGGACAGATTGGGGAGTGTTTATTCAGTTTGGAAAAAATTGCACGTCTAGTTTAGGTGCTACTGTTGTTCACTCACACCAGACAGATGGACGTTTTGAAGAAAAATATGACTTTTTTGCTATCAGGGGACACCAAAACATGTATTTCCGTTGCAATCTTAAAATCGATTTTCCACAGAATTACTTAAATTTCCCTATACTAAGTGTAATACTCCATATATACATATGTATACAGGAAAGTAAAATGCACATTCAACTTTTTTTAAACTTTTCCAATGCCTTTACAATTATCTTCCATCAATATTTGGGGTACCTATCTTTATTGAATAGAATATTGCATAGGACTTCAGGGTCTTTTATTTCAAAATATTAATAATTCTCACATATTTAATTATAACGTTTGTTTCCAAAAAAAAATTTACAATATTTTTTTTTTTGGTAATAACACCTTTTTCCTTTAAACTTATTGTATGAATAATGCAGTGAATCATACAGTACTACTGTTAATCCATTTTAATCTTTGATTATTGTATGAAAGTTTACATGACCTTTCCACTCATGAGGAATGAGAAATTCCAAGAGCAACACTGTTTTTCATTCAATGCCAATAAAAAGTTGAAAAAAGAAGACTGAATTTTAAAAAGAATCTCAAACACATATTTTAATTTTAAATTCTTGTTAACGGAATTTTTATTTTCTCTTATTGGTTCTGCTTACTTTTGAAATATTAGAGAAGTGTATGAAAGAATACCAATTATTCACATCAGTTACATTTTGTAGTAAAAAAATGTAATTAATGTCATAATTAACAAATGTATCATGTCAATATTAGTTGAAATTACAAATTTTAATTATTATTCGCATTCAATGACACTGAATGCCAACATGAGAAACAGGTAAAATATAGTAATTTTAAAATCAAAATATATTTCTAAGAAAATATTAATGAAGTATGTAATGGCAACAGAAGCTTTTGTCTACAATTCAAGCAAAAAATCACATTCATACAGCAATGTGGAATTTTCTAGGAAAAAATAAATTTATCAATTTTGTGCTATTTATTTTGATCAGTCAGTATATATCAAAATATTGATACATTCAAAATAACAGTTCACATCACCAATGTAGGTACAAACAAATAAGTTATTCTCTTCCGGTTTACATGAACACAGACAACACTAGGCTGTTGACTTCATAAACACATAAAAATATAAAATTATTTATTTCAATATTTTCACATTTTACTATAAAAATATTCATTAAGAACAATAAATGCCTTTAAAGCTTTCCAGCTGATGATATCTGATGAACATCTATAATACATCGGGCCCTAGAAAGTGTCTATGAAAAAAATATTAGCAACTGAGATGTAGTGGGATTTTGCAGTCCTTTGCTACACTGTAAGTCTCTCCGATGAGAGTACATTTCAAAACCACGGCAAGCTTACCATAACCTTCTACATAAATTATAATAAGTTTTTGACTAAATACAAAAAGTTCAAGTAGGGTCTTTTCTATTTTGTTGAAAACTGGACTCTGCTTGTACAGAAATTGCTTGTTTATTTTTTAGCACCTTTTGAAAGAAACCTGTAGATGTTGAAGAAAATTTTAGAACACATTCACTGAAATTTTTAGCAGGATTATTAACATAATGAAATAACAAATAAAAACCACAGAAAGTAATTTTTCCTAAACTTCCAGTCCACAACAGGAGGTAGCAAAAGTATTTATTAAAAAATCTTTATGTAAAATGCACAGAGAAAAACTGAAAATTTTAGCCCCAAACTATTTTGATTTTTGCTATTATTGTAATGAATTTAAATGGATATTCATTTCCAACAATGAATAAATGCCTTTAATGACAATTAAACACTGGATACTTCAACAAAAGATACAACTTAGATCATGTACATTACTCTTATCAGCTCTTTGGTAATTTAAAATGAGAAATTATAGTCAAATATATTTCTCAACAAATAATGGAAAAGAATAAAAACTGAGGCAGAGAGGCGAAGAATTAACACAAAAGTCAATACATTGATGGCTTTACAACTTAATCAATATCACAATTGTAAATTACTTCATTTTTCATACAAGTTTTTCAGAAAGAATTCAAAGGTATACATGTTAATTTTCAATTTTCCCACCAACATTGTAATAGAATTGCAAAGACAAGTGTTCACAAAATTCATTAACAAAGATAATGAATTTTTTTGTTTCTCCCATTGCATTGTAAAAGTGCTTTTAATACTTTTCACTGAAAAGAAATAGCTCTCCCACCAGTCTTTTCTGAACAGGGTTTTATCATTTGAATGAACTTATGTTTTAAATATTTAATATCTTATGAAGAACTTCCTATTTATTTCATTACACTTTGTAAAATATATTAAGACACGCATCACTCCCTCCCTTATGCTTAATGTTCTGACAAACCTCTCTCCTGTCCAAAGCAAATGCATTTTCATAATTATCCCCTCAATTCCAATTAGTCATAAAATAACAAAATATATTAATTCTTTAAATGTGGAATAAATATTTTTGTGCATATCTCGCATAAAAATTGCCCCCAAAATCCAGATTCAATCCATTTCACAGTTCAGTACATTTCATACCTACAGTTCTTGTAAAATACATTAAAGATTAAAGAATAACAAACTGAATGATCCATACAGTCAACCCACTTAGAAGAATGACTTTCCAGCAAAATGTCAAGAAATAGCTTGTTTATACAATTTGAAGTTTCTCTTGACAATGGCCCACAATTTGGGAAAGTCTATAATACATAATAATAACCAATTATTTTTCATAATTCATATACTGGCAATGTTTTAGGATTTGTACTAGTTTTACTACCAAATAAATAACAAAGCAAAAAGGAACAATATAGAATATTATGGTCAGAGAACTGTTACAACTCCCAATTGTTCTAAAGCCCTTAAAATATTTGGAGGATTTTCAACACATGGAAATTAAATTAACCATTTTTACTTCACACAAATGGTATCCAATACTTCATATAAATAAGTTCACCCATGACAAAATAACTATTTAGAATCTAAATATAATTTTAACCATATATTCCTTCTACTTTAGAGTAAAGAATATTCTGAGTGTACTGGTTAAAATACACCTGTATAAGTAAAAGGAGAAGTCTTTGGCACCTTCTTTATACCAAGACTAAATGCAGTAAATATAAACAAAAGAAGAATTACTAGTACGCAGTTTGAAACATAAAAAATTGGGAGAGTCAACCTTTATCCTGATAATTCTGTTTTACACATCCCAAAGTGGAATGTATTATTCATTTTTGAAATCACAGTTTTTGACTAAAGAAACAGAATAATCAGAAGCAATAGTTAAAGGAACATTGTAAAAACTGAATCAAATTCAGATACATAAAATCTGACAATCCCTTCGATTCCCATTTATGCTAAAATGGGCAAGATTCTAATGAAAGAAAATAGAAGAATTCTACTGCATGTCATGGAAATTAAGATATTTTCAAACTCAACTCTTGAACTATATAAGATACATCATATTGCAACCAGAGGCATAGCTAAGTCCTTGGAGGCCCTGATTTACACGGTTCAACTGGAACCCACAACTGCGATTACCAGTCATGAAATGAAGAGATTTCAATAACTTGCTGTTTCTCAGAGGCTTTACAGAAGAAGGTCCTATCGAGCGAGTCCTAACTATCATTAACTTATTATGCTAATTGTATAAACATGTTTGTCAGATTTAAACAAAAGTAAACAATTTTATGAATTTGAGTAATAAGTGAATCAAAAAATGGGTTGTTAATTGTATCATTTGTTAATAAAGTTAGGCACTTGCTTACCATTACAATAAGATTAAGCAGTTGTTGAGAACTTGATTTTATCAATTATTCTAAAAAGTAACAATAAGGTTTTTCAAAATAAAATAATTTTGTCTTACAGGATAATTAATTGAACTTTTAATAAAATTAAAAGAGATAAAAGTTATTAACCTGTACTATTACAAGAAGACTTTATACAGTAAACATTAAACAATTTTAAAATCAATTAAATATAATAAAAAATACAAATTCGAACAATGAAAACACTGACTAAACAGATTTAAAGATTTTCTTTCCCAATTTTTTTATGAAAAAATATCAAATTATAAAAAATGTTATCAATGTAAATTTTTTATACACTTCTGTAAGTACTGACAATAGAAGACGATAGAAGTACCTTGGGTGCAGATCTATCACAAGAAATTTTAGTTTAAACCTCCTCAAATATTCATTTCAGAAAACTTGCCAATTTACTGCAATGTAAATTTGATCTTGAAATTCGGTCCACTTGCACTGAATGGGAATACACCTTTGAAAGGAGATGTGTTCAATATATGGCAATTGTTTTTAAGGAATTCGGTAAAATTACAACAAAAAATGTTGGTGACGAGGGGAACAGGCAGCTAGTACTCTGCTGCAGAAATATACATGACACCAATGTAAAAAGTATAGTTAAGTACATTCAGTAAGCAGCGTATTCATCATGTTAGGCAGAAGTAAATGAACTATGAAGAATGAATTCATAAAAAAATTTGGATTTAAAAAGTTTGTAATGTAGAACTAGTAACCGTCCTGAATGAAGGCATCATCTGAAACAAACAATACGTGATGCTCATATATTTGTTATATTCTGTTGCCAGTTTTACATAACATAATTTACTACCAAACATTTTACAAATTCATTTTCTGATAACAGACATGGAAAGTATCAGACAAGCTGACTCATGTGCATAAATATACCATGTGTACTGTGAATCCCATCTGGCTCGAACACTGTGCTGCCAGAATACTGTGCTGCCAGAACACTGTGCTGCCAGAATTCTTTGTTTGTTTTGAAATAACTGATTTGATTCTCTCAAAGGCACATTTTATTTGAATATACAGTTGACAGGTAATTTGTTACAATTTTTTCCAAGCCAACCTTCATTGAAGGATAGTGAGGGTCCTCTTTTGGTGCAGTGCACTAGATGCACCAACCTAACTATGCTCCTGATTGCAACCATTACATTACATTGTATCTTACATTTTTATACGATAAAGATATTATAAAGAAGTTATCTTAACCACACTTTCATTACTTATCTATCCAAAATGTGGATATAATAGATAATTTGTTCCAGTTTCTTTCAAGACTCTAGCAAGAGAGGAACTGCTCTCCAGACCAAATACATCCATTGGCTTGCGATCCATAGTAACAATCCTGATAAAATAAAAAATTGTTGACAATTAATTTACAGGAATGTTCACAAATGTTGTATTTAAATATTGTAAAGGATAATTACCATCCACCAGAAATTCGATGAAGAAATTTCCAATATGAAGGGCGTAAATTATTGGGTTCCAGCAATGCAGCATGGAACAAAACAGCAGTAGAAGTACAATATAATAAAATAGTAGCACCGGGAAGTTCAGGAAAATATCCTTTTTCAACTCCATCACTGTACATAAGCTGCAAATGAAACAAGAAAATCAGTAGTTTAAGAACATAAGAAAGTAAAGTAATAACTTATTAAAATAACACTGAAGGTAGAACTAATAATGTGTTTCTAAAACACACAAACATCACAAGAATTGCCAACTCTGAATATCCTACATAAATCCACTATGAAAGGATTTGGTGGAGTTACAACAAAATAACATGTGAAATTGTCTCTCATTTATAATTAATATTCTCCCCTGAAAATATCACAAAGAATATATCCGAATAAGGGGGTGAAAAGTATCCCCAAACCAAATTGATAATCACGCTACTCATACGAAAAAATGCCATAAATTCTCAAAATCAGCCTCCTAGGGCAATCTGTTGCAAAGGTACAATGAAAAAAGGTGATTTTCAAATTTTATTTTTTCTCAGTTTCTATTGCAGGTACCAGGCTGGAAAAAATTGCAGTTTGAGAAAATTAGTTGTATTTGAAGGTACTTTGTCAACCAATTTTGGCACCAAATTCCAATAGAAAAAATTTATAAGCTTTTAAAATTGATTTTCGACATGATAACATTGGAGTACTGGCTCAGGTTTTTGTTAGAATGTAACATTCATAACATTCCTTAAAACATGTGTTTTGCAAACTTATAAATAATGTGGACAATAGTGGAAAAAATTAAAACCAATTTTATCAGTTTACAAATTTGAAATTCACACCAAAATGTGATTGGAAAATTATTTTTCATCAATGTTTAAACAATTTGTATTTAAATTATTGAAAAGTATCACCAGCATGATTTACAACTTTTTGCTAATGAATGTTTTTTTATGTATTATCAAAATAAAAGCATGGAACCATTTTAATATTAGATTTATGTATTGTTTCAAATATAAATAAAATTACTCAGTTTTAGATTTATTAACCATGTTTATAATATAAATCAAATTACTGAGTTGTAGGTTTATTAATAATTAGATAATCACCGATAATTAATCGTTGACATGGTCTTCAACAACTGGAATCACACTTTCACAATAAACAGTCTACTCAAAATTTCTAACAATTTTCACCAAGTATCGAGCGTTTGCCAAATAGTGAATGATCACAGCCATGTGGGAGCAGCATCCCATGGCGGGACTTCCGTTTGAACATTCACAATAACATTCTTTCACTCCTGGTATTCCGATTCAGTATGGTACATAAATTATGAAACTCCTATAAATTGTTTAAACACAAATTCTCGGCTATCAGGGAGACACCGCGTCGTTGGCTGGGGTGCCGACGTTTCGCCTGACATGTTGTAGGCTTCCTCAGGGCAGTGAGCCGTCACTGACCTGAGGAAGCCTGCGACATGTCAGGTGAAACGTCGGCATCCCAGCCAACGACGCGGCGTCTCCCAGATAGCCGAGAATTTATGGATTCAAGCCGTGGAAGCTTATGTGTACACCTTGTTTAAACACGGTTGAAAAAAATATTTTCCAATAACATTTTGGCACAAATTTCAAATTTTTAAACTGATACAAGTGGTTTAAGTGTTTTTTCACAATCATCCACTTTGTTTAAAAATCTGAAAAAAAATTATGTTATAAAATATTAAGAGACACATTCTAGGGAAAAAAACTGAGACAGTACTATGTTATCACATTGAAAATCAATTTTTAAAAAACTATTTATTTTCTATTTGGATTTGAGGCCAAAATTGGTTGATAAAAATCAAAGTACACTATTTTTAGTCTCTCTGCAATTTTTTCAGCTTCATACATGCAATACATACTGAGAAAAAATGAAACATTAAAAACACATTTTTTATTGTATCACTGCAAGTTTGCCGTAAGTGTCTGTTTCTTTTGTGACTCTATGGAATTTTTTTATTCTCTTTCATACGAGTACCGCTATTATTGATTTGGGTTGGGGGCACTCTTCATTTCCATATTCTTTGCTTCAATTAGTATGGAATAAAAAACTCATTCTGAACACACACACGCACACCTTCCTCTCCTTTTTAATGGTATTTCAGTGGTAAAAATTTTATAATGTTCATTTTTTTCATTATTTATATATCCTAATCTTAATATTTCTGCCTGTCTGTCTCTCTCTCATCCAGCATCTCCAGAAAAATATTCCTACTGCATTGGGTTTCTCTTAATGTCCGCAAAACCTAGTACACTTATACATATAACTGATGATGAAGAAAGTAACATCTTATAAATAACCATTTTTGAATTAAGCGCAGAAGTACATTTAGAAAATAGGCTATAGTTGCTATACTAAGGACAATAAATTTTGCAGCTCAATGGTAACAAGAATATAATGAAAATGTATTGTAACTATTATCTTATTGTGTTTTATAATTGAATGATTGAATTACTGTATATATGATTGTTATATTATGAAACCATTCTGAAAGTATTATATAATGTAATTATTTAAGAATTGTATTATGTAACTGTTAAGTATAGTAAAAATGATGTAATCCTGAATATGGATTTAAATTGTAATAGTAATCATCAGATGACCATGAATGAATATTATTATTATTATTATTTTACATCTCCACAATAATCGTCTGTCCTTTTTCTTCTTCTTTACACTACTATCAATTGTCCAACATTCTTATCTGAGTTTTGGGAGGGAAATAAGAGGTCAACATGGTTGAGACACTGTAGAAGAGTGACCCACCTAAAGTAATTGCCTCCACTAAATAGTCTATTATTGTCAAATTTTCTAAAAAAAAGTTCACAAAGGAGCTGCTATAAAGAGAAACTATCTTGGGGCGTGTAATAGACAACTCCACTCACATTAAAACCTTATTTCCTGCAAATTAACTATTTTTGAGATTTATCACTTTTCTTGAGCACTGATGAAAGAGTGCATCTTTGTCTTCATAGGTCCTTTACCACAACCCTCAAAAAAGTACGAATTTATCTACCATATTATCTTTAGAAGTATTCTGAAATAAACAAGATCTCCTTAGATTTCTACTTGAAAAATGAACACTAACAACATTTTCGAAATGTCAGCTAAGATAACTTAAACTGGCCCATTGTCAATCAGTAGAGAGGCATGAAATTCACTGCATTCTAAAGTGGAATTAAGATCCGTAAGCGGACACTTGATTCTAAGTTAAAATGACAGCAAAATGGACGAGTTTTGTTTTATTTTGTTTGTCTTTAGGGCACAAACAAGTCTTCTAATATGTAACATTTTGTATTTAATCTTCACCATACAATCCTTTTCCAATTTTTTTTTTTTACATGAGGGAGTAATTAATTTGTTCGGGCTTCACATTATCTTTTGTGAATATCAAACATTTCCATTTCTAATTGTAAATTTCCTTTAAAACACCATACCATTATACCAAATAAAAAAAAATTAGTGACAATCACCCCCTTAGATAAATTTCTTTACAAATTATTAATAATCCAATTACCTCAACCCATTTCCATAAGAGATACAGAGCAATTGTGACATCTGGAAAGAACGTAAATGATAATCCAGCCACAAGTCCAGCAGGAATTGAATGACAGGCTGAATTACAGTCTGTAAGCCAGCGAAGTAAGCATGAGGTAACCTACAATGGAATTTCATTTTTATCAAATGTACAACATGCGAAGTGCAATAAAACTTGTTAAAGAATAACAAAATTACAATAAATATATTTTTAATGGTAGCTTCCATATTAATAAATTAAAGATGTAGTTTAACAAAACATAGCATAACACACAAAGTAAAATTTTAATTTGAAAAAAATATTTCATACCCTGAATAAGCCTGAAAAACCACCTAAAAATGCACCAAACCGAAGAGCATCTCTATGAAACAAACACCGAGATATCAACTTTGGATTTTTGACAATTCTCTTCATTTGTAATAGCAGTTTAAGGCACACCTGTAGGCTATAGCCCACAGAAAAGAGTTTCAAGCTACCCTGTAAACAAAAAAAAATTTCAGTCATCTTTTCACTCTTGATATTTTTATAATATAATTTAATATTTTAATAATCTTATAATATAATATGTTAATAATCTTATAATATAATATTTTCACAATCTTATAATTTATAATCTAATACTTCTATAATTACCTGTGTAACATAGTGTACACAGCTGAAAGGGTGTTCACACGTTCTGTGTTTCTTTAGAGTTTTAAACTTGTTCCATAATATAATAAATATTTTGAACCACTTATTGAAAAACATATTAATTATTCCTTTCTGTTGGTTTGTTTTATCTCTATCTACATTTTCACGAATGGAACTTTGGTCATTTACTTCAATACTTTTCTTCTCCTCCCATGGTCCCACAATATATCTGTAGACAAACCGACATACATTCACTGACATCATTCTATACAAAATTAAACAATTTTCATCAAGCTTACCTTAATAAACCAAACACAGAATCTTTGTTCTTTTCTTTACTTTTCATTTTGTAGAGTATTCCTGCAACTGCCATAGCAAAGATAGCTATTTCTCCATGAGGGATGGGGCGGACAAGACCTCGCCATACTGCCATGCGGAAGAGTGTTTCTGAAGCCTCTCCAAAACAATAACATCCACAAATTTAGCAGAAAAACAAACAAAAACAAGAAAATATATTTGAATTGAATATAAGTTAAAAAAAAACAACTTACCACATTAGTTACATAAAGAGTCAGTAATCCTCGCCTAGAAGGTCTCTCAACTAAAATTGATACATAACTAGCTAGAAATGATGGTACAAATGATGCTGTGAACACATTGAAACCTCCAAAGATATACCTAGAAAATAAAAATCAAATCACAGGATTATATAAGCAATAGATATGATCTAAAACAACAATTGGCCACCAATTTTTTGTCTAATTCAATCAACAAAAAAGTATGGCAAATTTATATAAATTACACAATTTTCTTAATGTAGAATGAAAATGTGTAAAAAAAAATTACTTTCTCCTGTTTTCATGTAATTATAAAGCCATGGTTACAAATGGAAAAATTGAAAGGTTGCACTCACCTTATACAACAAAGGATTAAGGAATAGCTAGAGGCATGGCAAGTCAGAAAAGCAGTTGACTGACTGATTCGCAGGATCAAACTTTTTAGATCTTTTAGTGTAGGTATTTTGCCTCTCATCAGCATTGCTAACTAGAAATACATAATAAAATAAGGAATTACACAGATACACAGTGATGAAATAATTTGTAATAAAACAATAAAAGTATGAATAGCATGACCTACCAAGTATACTACAGAGTAAACTTTGAACCCTCCCATAGTACAGGCAAAAGTTATTGCTTTGGCAGCCTGGTAACATGAATTTGTACTAGGGTGATAATATTCCCGGCAAGTAATAGGAACTATTTCGAATTTACTAAACAAAACCATTGTGTTAGAAATGTTGTTGGCTACTACAAGATTAACTCTTTGGCATTTCCTTCATACATCACAAATGTTTATCAAAAACCTAAAGAAAACATTGTTAGTACAAACTTATCTCTGACACACCCCCACACCAATCAATGCCCTTGCCGGCACTCCCCACAACAAACTCGGGCTCTACGCCAAATTCTCCAGACCTCCACAAGGGAAGGGCAGAGCAGCTGATTCAATCGAGGAAGGGAAGGGCGGTTAGGAATGCGCGCGCGCATGTCACAGCATGGCAAACCAACCCCAGGCACCCCCGCCCCACTCCCCATACAGATCACAGTGATCTACTCATTGTCAGATCTACTCAACGCAAAACGCCATGTACGATTGTGTTCAGTGCGTTCATTTCATCTAATTTTCCACGCACGGGTGTAAGTGTGCAAGAACAAGTGAAACAATAACGAAATATTACGTGAAGTATTTCATACGTACCACATATACGGTTACGTATATTCTAAGTGATTGTTTCGATGCATTGTAGCCCAATCCAGCTGTTGCAGCAGTGCAGGAATTCGTCCAAGGGTGAACATATTCTCTACACGTACACGTTGTAGTTGTCAATTTGCTGAAGACCACCATGTTCCTCTTCGAGTAATGTTCATTTTCTTTCACGGCATCAACTGGACGTTCAGCTGCCTAACAATGACATGTTTTGCAAGTCATCGACGATAAGTTAATCGTATCTTCTGACGATCGGATGTTTTGCATTTCTACCAATGCCGCGCTACACTTCGAACTCCCACGCAGACGACAGTACCACAGCCTTGACCTGTAGGAGAAAAGTCAAGGTCCTTTTATAATTGTTTTCCCCATAATAATCTTTACCTTAATTCATCTTGTACATCAATTTGCCCTTCACGCAGCTTTTGTTGTAGCAGACACTACACTAAAATATCACGATTTTCAGAAATAATACCACTCGTTACAAATTGGTATTCTCTACAAACTTGTTTTCACAACGTACTTGTTTACGTAACGTAAGGAAACTCGTCTGCGCAGCAAGAACACTTCGAAATTTCTTACACGATTCATATAACATATCCTATTACTTAGGCATGTCGTTCTTCAAAGACATCACAAGGTGAATCTCTTAGTTTCATAATGGGTAGGAACTGAGAATTTAAAGAATGCACTCCCTCCCACTACAATTAATCTGAGGCCCGTTATCATTCCCACGACCTAAAAAAACTATTTTGAAGTGACCTGCATTCTTTTAGCAAATTTTTTCTTCATATTTTTGTTAACGAATTTATTTGGACAGGAAAATTCCATTTCTGGTGAATTTTTAAATAGTATTTTTTTAAAAATCTTTATCAATGACCTGAAAAACCAACCATGGATTGCACTATAAAATAAACCAGTATTTAAATGCTCTTTCTGACGAGAGCTTTTCTTTCTAGTTGTGTTGTGTCATGTTTTGCTTACGTATTCTCCACTCCACAAAATGTTCTACATTTCCGCGTGAAATAAGTATTTAAAGAATATTAGTCTAGATATTTAATCCTTTTCACGCCATACCTTTAAAACGTTTAGCGTAAAACTTTGGAATACCAATACCTTTTATAATACAAATTAAGGGAAGACAATGTTGCCGCACGTCGAGAACACGTAGTCAATTGTTTGGAAGGCCAAGTTCGTCGAAGTGCCGCCAAATTTGAAATATTTAATAATCACAACGAAATAAAAACCAGAAAACCGCTTGCCGGAATAGCATACATTTATAAATATAAGAAAAATTGAATTATTGTTTTTTTAGCTAAATTATAAACGTTAAGATCGTATTTTAGCATGTAATATTTTAATGAATCGTATTTTTGTTTAATACTCGGGAACGAGAGAGCTCAGCGCAACAACTTTTGCTATTGCAATGTCTCTGACCGAGAGGTTCTAATAGGGTTCAATTCTCGACGTTGGCGGATATCCGACTCTAGCTAAGTCAAGATCATCAACTGTCTGGCGGAGAGTTCTAGGGCCCGTCTGCTCTGATCAGTAATTTCCTCAGTTTCGGTGGTTCTCCAATTAGTGTCAGGCGAATGCCGAAGCAATGCTCAGTCAAACAGATCACGGATAGCGTTCGATCTTTCCTTCCTCCTCCCTACACCACCTCTCTTTGACACATTCTCTTACATTTACGTACACTACACTTCCATCCCTCTCGGGATCAGCTTAGATCTTGTCTCGCAGCTGAGGCGGCGCCCTTCAGAAGGGAAAAACCTCCCTCCCTTCTTTTTTCTTACGTACAATTTCCAATTTGTATAACCATTCCCTCAATTACGACTGGACGCGCATGAAGAATATTCGTTAACAGGAATACAAGAACAAATAGTTGTGAGGGAAATGAGCGTGAATCGCATTAGTACTCCTATTAAGACGAACCACATTATTTTGTCACTGTTACATGCTGTATTACAAAGCGACAAGCACTTGTTATATGCGAAAATTATCGTTTAGAATAATGTCAAATCTGATGACAATGGCCGTGCGCATCAATACTCTTAGTGAAGACAATAAAATAATACTTGGGAGAAGTGTTGACAAAATTAAGTATAATGAAAAGTTGTTGAGACACCTTTCGCAATCTAGCTGCCAATTCGCTCTTTTCTTAGCACCGAAATTAATCAAGCTGCGTTATCATATCGCCTCGAGCCTTCGGGAAAGTGCGCAACACCTCTACGCGACTCGCGAATGGCCCGGAACCGTCCAGTTCGTGGGGAAGAGCATCTCCCCACGAACCATCTGCCGGCAGGTGACGCAATCCGCGCAGCGAATCCCGGCAGATGATGCAATATTTGTTACAATATATATATATATATATATATATATATA